TGCGGCTCTCCCTACTGATGAGTATCAACTCACAAGAGATAGGGAAAGGCGGCAAATCAGACATTCCACTAGATTTTACAGTGATGATTTTGTTTCTTTCTTTACCTTTCAAGAACATTTTGAAAATGAACCAAACTTCCATAATGATGACATAAGATGTAAGGAAAGCAAAAATTGGATTGCTGCTATGGAAGATGAAATGTCTTTAAAACAAAACTTGGGAACTTGTTGAAACACTTGAGAGGCAGAAATTAATTGATTACAAGTAGATTCTCAAAATAAAAAAGAGAGGAGGGGATAGTAAAACCATCAGATACAAAGCTAGACTTGTTGCAGAAGGTTTTACCTAAAAAGAAGGTATAGATTATACTGAGATATTCTCCCCTGTTGTGAAATATTCTACTATCAGATGTTTGCTTGCTTTAGTTTCTCATTTTAAATGAGAACTTGAACAATTAGATGTTAAAACTGCTTTCCTATATGGTGATTTAGATGAAATTATCTATATGAAATAACCCATTGGATTTGAAGTTGGTAATCCTGATAATACTGTTTGCTTGCTGAAAAGGTCCCTATATGGTTTAAAATAGGCTCCTAGACAATGGTATATGAGATTTGATAACTTTGTGTTAAAACTTGGTTTTAAAAGAAGCCAATTTGATGCCTGTTTTATTTTAAAGGTGATGGAGGTGAACACTCTCTTTCTTTAGCACTTTATGTGGATGATCTTGCCTGCTATGATAGAGCTGAAATTGATAATATCAAATTGAAACTGAAATCTGAATTTGATATGAAAGACCTTGGCCCTGCTAGAAGAATTTTAGGCATGCAAATCTAGAGAAATAAAGAGAGGGACTTGTTATTTCTTAATCAACATGATTATGTGATTAATATTTTGAAAATGTTTAATATGTATGAGCGTAAACTTGTTACTTTGCCTCTGTTAAACCATTTTAAACTTTCTTCTGAATTCTGTCCCAACTCTGAAGAGGAATATGCTAAAATGTCAAAAATACCTTATGCTATTGCTGTGAGTTCTGTGATGTATTTGATGATTTGCACCAGACTTGATCTTGCTTTTGGAATTAATATATTAAGTAGGTTTATGAGTAACCCAAGAGAAGAACATTGGAATGCCCTAAAATGGTTATTTAGATATCCTAAAGGTACTTCTAATTTGGGTTTAATGTTTAAATCTAATAAAAATGATGTTATATTGATGGAATATACCGATTCTGACTTTACTGGTGATAAGGATAATAAAAGATCTACTTCCTCATATTTTTATACTTTGTGTGGCACTGTTGTGAGTTGGAAATCTCAGTTTCAAAAGGTTGTAGCCTTATCTTATACTGAAACAAAATATATTGCTGCTACAGATGCTGTTAAAGAAGAAATTTGGTTAAATTGATTGATTTCTGAACTTGATTTTTCTGAAAATGATATTCTGTTATTATCTGACAACCAAAGTGTCATACATTTAAGCAAAAATCCTATGTTTCATGATAGAACAAAATATATTGATATCAAATATCATTTTATAAGATATGTTATTTCAAAAGGGATTATAAAGATTGGTAAAATCCCTACTCAAGTAAACCCATAAGATATGAGAATTAAAGTAATTCATTTGAATAAGTTTTTGAACTATTTGAAACTTCTATCTGTTGAATCTTTGTGATGACTATACAGGTACTTTTGAGCGAATGAAAAGAATATGTGATTTTGTTCTGGACTACACTACGGCCCAAATTCTAGTAGCAAGGTGGAGAATATTGGAATTGAATAGGGTTCAATTTGGCTGCTTCCAAAATTTGGATAAGCCGTGCTTTGGTTAAATGATAACTCTCTTAATCCCGCCAATTGCTGGATGTGTGACACCTGGACTGATGAAGACCGTCAGATCTGCTTCTGGATGGTTCTTATGGTTTATGCCCTTTCACTTGGCATATCTCTCGAAGCGTTATGATTCTAGGGTTTCAACTTCGACTTTCCTCTCTCTCTGGCTGCGTCTCTTTGAATACCTTTCTTCTGTAAATCAATTCTCTGATTTGATTATATTGTGTTATTTTGGTTCCTTTGTGGGGATATTCTGAGTGAATATCGGCGTAAGGTATTTGAGAAACTGTGTTGTTGTTCCTGTTGATTTAGTGTTCGATTCTTTGTGATTCGAGTGGATCTACTGCTGTATGACTTGATAGATAAGCGTTCTTGTACTTTCTTTGTGATTGTTCTGAACATTCTTGTAACCTTTGTTGCCAATTTGGGCTTTATAGTGGAACGGAGCATAATCCACAACTTGGATGCTCTATGGGGAATGTAGGTGTTGGATGTGGTCACCAAACCTCCAGGGCTTAGGCCAAAAACTTATCGATTGTGTTCTTTAAATTTTGCACTTTATTTTCAGTAAACAAACTTTTACTTTCTGTTCTTGATCTAATATCGTGTGTCCTGGTCCGACATCACTATTAAAAAAAAATGTAATTTTAGCCGAAGAACATGAAATTGACCTTAAATGTTTATTAGATCAGATTCAAACGCCATACAAGATTTTACTCTCTGATTTTCTCACTAAAATCCGACATCTCGGAATAGCAATGAAAAAGTTAGTCTGATAATAGCAGGGATTTCTTTCCAGTCAAAACCTACAGAATTCAAGCAATTACACAATCATAATTTAAAAGCCATGGTCATCTAGTTTCCTCTACGGCTCAAGAATTACGTCCACTCGTTGTTGCAGGTCTACTGCGCATATTCCAACAGCATATAGTCTAATCATCCGTAATCCATGCAAGATCAATGTTTGACATCCAGTGACATGCCTCGCCTTCTCCAGGTGAGAATTTCAGAATCTTAAAAGCTACATGATTATCAGGCCATGCCGAGGTATCCATGTGGCATATCGCGATCACATTTTTAGCTGGGAGTCGAGTTTTGGCTTCAACCAAGTCTACGGCATAGATTTGAGACGAAGAGATTGAATGGCAGAAATAGGCTGCGAAAGGAAGATAAACTTCATGGCAGGCAACTATTTTCTGCCTATCAAATTTCTTGATCTTTTTTATCAGGAAATCACCTGCTCTTGTGCTGTGTGAAGCCAGTGCGAGTAATTTGTTTTTGCCTAAGGAAAACTTTGAGAAATTAATCATTTCTTCAAGGGATTTTGGGCAAGTCTTGATTTCTCCCTGTATAGCTTCTGCATTACAATAAGAAAGTGTTGTTTCGATGGAATTTTTTGACAGTTCAAAAGACTTGGGAAATATTTTTCTGATGTTTTTTCTGCTGATGGATATTCTTGATGATATTTCAACAGGGAGAAATGCTCGATTTGGAATTTTTTCTACTAAATCTGAGAGATGGAGTTTATTTCCTTCTTTAAGAATTGAGAGCCTGAAGTAAGAAAATTTGTCTACCTTATTGGATTGAAAAGGTATAGCAACATTGTTACCGTACACTTTGGTCGTAGTATATACTTGTTTGACTCTTTTGAAATCGTCGAATTCGGATGAACAAGAGAGTTTAGCAAGGGAGCAAAAGTCATGATTTTCTGAGAAGTCGTTTTCAGATATCATTTTTGTGTAATAATCACGATCCCATTTTGTTAATGGGGATAGCTTTTTGAAGATAGATTCTGGCATTTGGTTGTGCACATTTTCCGACCAAAATTTCATCTGGTCGGAAGCGATGGATGTTGGAGAGACTTGAGTCGACGCGAAAGAAGTGAAGCTGAGAGAAATGGCCAAGTGAAAGAAGAGGAGAAGAGTGAGACGATGTAAAGTAGCCATTCTTGAGTAAAGAGAGAAGTTTGCAGGCCATATTTATACTGAAATCATGTTGAGTAATATTGAAGATAAATGGATTTTTGCAGGTAGGTTTGTGCACAAGTGTTTAAGAAAACAAATCATGTGGATTAGAACTGATTTTCTTATACTTATGTCATGCGATTATATTATTGTGGAAATCAAGCGGAATACTCATTTCTCAAATTTCAATTTTACTGTTGAGCTTTTTTTATTTTAGAAAATACTTTTTTCGAAAACTTGTAAATCGAAAAACCCAAATTGCTCCAAATCCCATGTACCAAACCCCACGAAGTCACACCTTCGGCCACTTTAGACCTGGCCTTGGATTCTCAAAGCACCAAGAATCGAGATCTTAGATCTTTAGAATAGAGAAATTTCAAGTGGATTCTCAACTCTGGGTGTTAAACTTGAATTTTTAAGGTGGCTGTGATCGTGAATCAGTTAAGGTTGTCATGCTTGCGTACGATTTTAGGTCTTGTATTCCTTGAATATGGTGTTTGTGGTGGTCAAGGGCAGACTTATAACTCGAGTTTAAGGTGGGCTAAATTTTTTACGGACCAATTTTATGAAGTAGAAAAAAAACATTAAATAAATCTTCTCAACTCGACACTAGTAGACAGCCCAATTGTGCAAACGAATAGGTATACCCTGAAAATGTTTGGTTAAATTTAAGAGTAAGTCAAACTTACATTTAAGTGAATATTTATTTGACATTATATTTAGATAAGTTGCTTATTTTCTTAATTATATAATTCAAAAATAAGATGCAAATAAGTAATTTGACCAAACATGCACTATATATGGTTTTGTTTATGCAGTAGACAAAGAAATGAAGAATCGGACCTTAGGTAGTCAAAAGTGCAGAATACAAATCATTCTTTATTCTGCTCACATGCAAATTTTGAATAAACAACAGATATGCATATCTCGACTTAATACATATTTTGTAAAAATAACTTTAAAAAAATAACAACTATCTTCAATTTATTTCAAGTAAAAAATAATTGTTTTATCGGGATTCACTCTAATAATTAATACGATTCGAGATTTACTCATCTTTTTTTTTTTTTTCATCCATTCATTGATTCAAGATAATTTTTGCGTGTTTTCAAATCCAAGTGCTAGCAGTAGAAGCAAAGCTCGGTGTGAAAAAAGATAAGCGCCCTTGTGCGAGCTTATATAAAATTTATCGGCCTCTTATGTTTTGGTCAATCCCACCTACTAAGTGTGAAATAAGTACGAGAAAGACGAAAATACCAAGTCCATTAAGATATGATCATTGCAAAGGGGCCAAGTATTGGAAATGAGACGGCTACCCAATGTAACACGATATGTTACTTGTAACAAACCGTGTCTATGTTTGAGCCCCTTTTTTTAGTAGATATTTTATAAAATGTGATTTTTTGGAGAATGTGTAATTAAAAAGTAGGAATTGTTTTAATTTTTTTTTAATTTACATGTAAAATTGTTTTGTTGGAATAATATGTAGTTGAAAATGAGCTTGAAAAAAAAAATTAAAACATGTAATTACTCGTGTAAGATATAAAACAATTTTTCCTGGAATAAAATTTATTTAAGAGAATTTTTACAGTTTATTTATTTTATTGGCGTATAGCCTCTGTTAATTGATAAAATGTATAGTTGAAAAGTTGTGAGACACGTCAAATATGAGGCTTAAATTAATTTTTAATTAAATTCTAATAAACTTTTGTACTGGACCAAAAAGGGGCTAAATAAATTACATAGCATAGACGTTCCACGTTAGCTGACTGGATGTTAATGATGTCAATTGGATTGGTCAAATTAAATCAAACCACTCTTGGACATGGACTCGATTCACTGGCCTATCGTGACCCATATGCCTCTTCTATTTATGGACCAAATCCTCCCTCACTTTAACTCTCTTGATCATTAGAGGGTCATTTTTCTAGAGCTATGGCCTTTGCGGTGTTTCAGGTGATGCCTAGATGGACGGAGATAATCAAGATTTGTTTTCTCAACTTCATCGATGGGATATTGAGGCAATGGATTGGCAACGTATGTGGAAACTATACGATACGTTAACCATGTATAACCAAGTTCCAAAACATAAAAAATACAAAAGAGCTACTGGAAAGATTGACCAACAAAATTTCTTTTGGAAACGGGAAAGCAAATTTTCAGATAGTGTTGAGCAAACCAAAAGAAGATCTATATTGCTAAATAGTTGGGTTTCGGTCTTGAGATGTCGTGGTCGAGGCCATCATTGTCTCAACGATAGCCGTCGCTCCTGCCGCCGAATAGCAGTCTCAAGTAAAGTTTGGAACCCCCTATCTTGGTGGCAACCACGGGGTGAAACATCATTGTTCCCAGGGGTCTATAGTTCTTTGAAGAGGCAACTAGCACCAGTTGCTAAAGGAAATGGACGACCTATTATTGGTGAAGCCTGATAAGCGTAATTTTACACTTATTTGGGCCATCAAAGGTGGACTTTTGGAAGTACTTTTAGTTAATTGATATTTAGTTCTAGTTTATTTTAGGAGAGAGTCAATTATGGATGGCTTGCGAGAGACGAGCGAAAAGTAGAAGTAAAGGACCTAAACGAAACAAACTGTGGAAGATGGGGAACAAGAAGTTGATATTTGAAAGATGAATGACTTTCAATAAAAATTAGGAAGGGACATGGGATTTCCAAAAGAAGGAATGCAAGGACCAAATTGAACAAGGAGCCAAAGCTTAGTCCATGCGATCGCAAGAGGTCCAATGGAATTAACAGGTTATCAAATGTTAAAACATGTAATTGCACCACCTATGCCTATGCTATCACATGGTTGTTCCAGACAAGAAAAATCTTGTGTCCTAATTTAAGTTGGACTTTTCAAGAAAAGCAATTGGTGCACATTAATTTGGAAGTTCAATTACATTATTCTCCATCTAGCAAGAAGGAGATGGAGAGGTTTTGAGATAAAATCATACAAACTACGTATATACTTTCAAGATTCTTGATTCGGAATTGAAGATTTCAAGCAAGAAGATTGTGATTTTTTGGATTCTTCATCGACGACATTCAAGGCGACTAAAATTCATCTTCAACCTTCTTTTTTCAATTTCATATTCCGGGTGATAAACTGTCAATTTACTATGTCATAGTGAAGCAAAGATGGCAAAGATGTGCCAAGTTGATGTCAACTCTATTTTATTCGACGATCCAATGAGGGCGCTAGGGACCTATTGAGGCCCCCTTCCATCAACTCATTGAGGAATTTTATTTAGCCTCGGTGGGGGAGCCAAGCTAAGAACCCGAAAGGGACTTGCTTCATTTGACCTATACGAGCTAATTCTATTTGATTAGAACACCCAACTGGGAGCTAGGGACCTATTGAGACCCCCTATGTCAATTTATTGATGAATTTTATGTAGCCTCAACAGGGGAACCAAGCTAAGAACTCGAAGGGGAATTGCCTGCTTTGACCTGCACGACTCAACTCTATTTGATTCGAAGATCCATTGAGGGAGCCAGTGACCGATTGAGGCCCATCTCCGATAACTCACTGGGAAATTTTATGTTGTCCCGATAAGAGTGTTAATTACCTAATTAGAACCTGCATGCATAACCTATGCAAGAAAATTACGATGAATGCCACATCTCTACATTTTTACAAGTCCGATCCATACATAAATGTAAAACTTACACTTGGGGAATGATGTTATAAAAGTATTCTTCTAGCATTTTATTATTTTTACTAGAACTGAACTCGTTGCCAGCATACATGCCATGTTGCGATTTTATCGCCAGCATATTACTTGCTTCACACTTACTATGCTGTTATTCTAAGTTTTGCAAGCATATTGTCTTCAACGATATTTGGTCATACGCATAGAGCTGGATGTGATCACATATCGTATGATTGGTGAATTATTTAAGTTACTTTGTGGCAGAATTTGGAAAAATATCGATTTTGTCATTAGTTTACCCCCACTTATCTCTTTTTCACTCATTAACTTCTATGTTTCGATCATTAACTTGATGTCAGAGTGCAAATCATTTTTTCCTGAAATAGTAGCGTCTACAACCTAGCGGTGTTTTCAGTGTACAAGTGATGCCTAGGTGGCTAGGTGGATGGAGGTTGTCGAGATTTGTTGGCCACTTGATCAATCGAATTTGAGATCCACACAATACATAAAAAATGCTCAAATTCTTCGAATTTAGGTTTTTCTATCAACTATTCATTTTCAATCATGCATTCTCGCAATGAAATATTATTACATAAATCCGAAATTTTTGTTCTTTTTAACTTCCAATTCTTAAAAAATCACTATTTCAAAACTCATTTTTCCAAGAAAGAAAAAACTCAAATGGGGGCTTAATCATCAAATACGAAATATTGCACAATTAGTCCTCATTTTATGGCCGAAGGAACAATCGGTACAAAATATTAGTTCACTGTTAACAAAAATAATTTTAGCCAAAGATGCTGAAATGACTTCATCTTTTTCTTGAGATTCAAACACAACACAAGATTACTCCATGATTTTTGCACTGAAATCCAACATCTCCAAATAGCAAAGAAATAAGAACACAGAGACCACCTCTGCCCATCAATTAATTTTATACTGAGAAATTGATAGCAGAGCTTTCTTTCTCATACAAACCTGCAGAATTTAAACACTAGTACAATCTTATTTTACAAGTCATGGCGATCGAGTTTCCTCGACTGCTCAAGAACTACGTTCGTTCATTGTGCAGGTTTACTACACACGGCCCAACATCTTACAATCTAATCATCCGCAATCCATGCAAGATCAATGTTCGACATCCAGTGACATGCCTCGCCTTCTCCAGGGGAGAATTTCAGTATCTTAAAAGCTACATGATTCTTAGGCCATGCCGAGGTATTCATGTGACATATCGCAATCACAGTGCTAACAGGGAGTCGAGTATCGTGTTCAACCAAGTCTACAGCATATATTCGAGACGAAGAGATTGAATGGCAGAAATAGGCCGTAAAGGGAAGATAAACTTCATGGCAGGCCACTATTTTCTGCCTATCAAATCTCTTGATGTTTTTTATCAGTAAATCACCTGTTCTTGTGCTTTGTGAAGCAAGTGCGAGTAACTTGGTTTTGCCTAATGCAAGTTTTGAGAAACGAATCATTTCTTCAAGGGATTTTGGGCAAATCTTGATTTCTCCCTTTATAGCTTCTGCATTACAATACGAAAGGGTTGTTTCCATGGAATTTTTTGACAGTGCATAGGACTTGGGAAATAATTTTCTGATGTCTTTTCTGCTGATAGAAATCTTTGATGCTAATTCTTGAGGGAGAAATGATCGATTCGGAATCTTTTCTTCTAAATCTGAGAGATGTAACATACTTCCTTCTCTAAGGATTGAGAGCCTGAAGTAAGAAAATTTGTCTACCTTATTGGATTGAAAAGGTAATGCACCATTGTTATTATACACTTTAGTCACAGCATATGCTTGTTTTACTGCCTTGAAATCGTCAAATTCGGATGAACAAGAGAGTTTAGCAAGGGAGCAAAAGTTGGGATTTTCTGAGAAGTTGTTTTCGGATATCATTTTAGTGTAATAATCACGATCCCTTGTTGTTAACGGGGATAGTTTGTTGAAGATAGATTCTGGCATTTTGTTGGCCACATTTTCCGACCAGAACTTGATCTGGTCAGAAGCAATGGATGACAAAGAGAGTTGAGTCGACGCAAGAGAAGTGAAACTTAGTGAAAAGGCCAAGTAAATGTAAAGGAGAGAAGTGGGAGAATGTGAAGTAGCCATTCCTATTTGTAGAGAGAGGAGAGAGAGAATCTGCATAAAATCCTCAAGATGAGTTCTGCTAGGAGGATAGTTTCCAGGCCATATTTATAATTGAAGATAAGTGGATTTTGCATATAAGTCCAGAGAATTTGGGTACATGGATACAAGAAAGCAAATAATGCTGATAAGAACTGATTTGCCTGTAATTAAGACATGTGAATGAGTATTTAATGCACAAAACTTCTATAATTGATTGAATTAAACAAGTTGTACAACCATTGTGTACAACTAGTTTGACATTGTTTGATGTGACATTGATTATTTTAAGTGTCATTTAAATCAATGACAAAATTGTATACCGGATCATGGAATGTAAAGAAAACTGTCAACCAAAATGTAAGTTTAGCAAAACTGTAATGATTTACGGTAAAACTTAAATTCAAAATATTTGAATTCTTTGATACCATAATATATGACATCTCATCAACTAATACCTCGATCGATTTTAACAGATTTACATAAACTCAATCTCAATAAAGAAGAATTTTTGAACAAAAATGCTCAAAATCATCGCATTTTGATTTTCCAATCCACAAGCTCATTTGTTTATTTCAGCAAAAAACATATTGCACCCTAAATCCTTGTTTGGCCCCAACTTTTCAAAACTCACTTTTTTTCCAAAATTCATTTTCAACCACACATTTATGGAACCAAAACTTTTATCAATTTTACAATCTTATATTTCATCAACTTTTATCAAAATTTACTAAAAATATGATTTTTAGCTAGACCAAACAAGGACTAACTATAATTGGGACAAGAATCCAGGGAACGCCGGAAACTATGAATTTTTGGTTATGCCGACATAAAATCATATGGGACAAACGAAGAATGGAGATATAAAGTGAACGCCAAGTTGCTCAAATAATGGAATGAAAACAGTGTAAAGAATGCAAATTGGATTAATAATTTATTTGTGTGGATATTGATAGTTGGTTTTTCATTTTTCCTTTTATGAGGGACCTTGTTCTTGCTCAATCCACTGTATGCAGTCATGTCCTGATAGGTGACGTTGCAATAAGTTGCATTGTTGGTGTTTCTAATCTATTGTCGGCATAGGAAATTGGTATGCAACCACTATATAGAGCAAGATGATCCTTGACATTGTTAGAAACTTTACTAGTTGCATTACAGTAAAGTGTAGAAATAAAAACTTATCAACTGATTGAGTCTCGTGACAGCACGATGTCATAAAGTGAAATTGTTCGTCGATAGCTGCTGCAACCTTTATAGACAATCACCTCCACGATACAACGATCAAATAAACCAATTGTGCAGCAATCACAAAAGGTTTTTCAAAACTCTCAAGTGTACTTCAGAAATATGTAAAACTAAGAACAATATTTTTTCTGTATAGAAATATATATAATATCGTTTTTCTTGTTGTTTTCTAATACCCTCTAGACCAAACAAGGACTAACTATACTTGGGACAAGAATCCAGGGAACGCCGGAAACTATGAATTTTTGGTTATGCCGACATTAAATCATATGGGACAAACCAAGATTGGAGATATAAAGTGAACGCCAAGTTGCTCCAATAATGGAATGAAAACAGTGTAAAGAATGCAAATTGGATTAATAATTTATTTGTGTGGATATTGAGAGTTGGTTTTTTATTTTTCCTTTGATGAGGGACCTTGTTCTTGCTCAATCCACTGTATGCAGTCATGTCCTGATAGGTGACGTTGCATTGTTGGTGTTTCTAATCTATTGTCGGCATAGTAAATTGGTATGCAACCACTATTAGTGGTGTCAATGGGCCGAGCCGAGCCGACTCGGCCCATTATCGCACGAGTCGAGCTCGTGGCTCGTTGGCAACGAGCCGACCTTGAGCTCGGCTCGTTGCCTTTTGGGGGAGCTCGGCTCGTGCTCGAGCTCGCCCAAAGCGAGCGGCTCGGTTAAGCTCGGCTCGCCTTTTATTTTTTTATTTTTATTTTTTAAAATAACGCTACTAGTATTACAAGTCTATTTTTTTTAAATATATATTTTTCAAAACATTTATCAGGGCTCGTCAAAACATTTATAATTTTTAAAATAGTAAATATACATTTATT